ATGAACCAGAGTACTTGGTCAACGGCTTGAAGGCGGACCCAGCATCAGTCAAGTGTGGACGGGACTCTCAGTTTTTTAGCGACTTGTCTAGGAAAAGGACACTCCAAAATTAAACCTGCGGCCAGTTATCTACCTACTTCGTGGCTAACTTAGCACCATTGGATTACGATTACTGGAGGAGAGAGGGTATCTTGTCCCGCACAAGCAACTTCCACTTACTTCTGTGCAGGTCGTCTCGGCCAAAATGAAAGCCCTGTGGCGATGGGGAAATGGTAACGGGAACAGGCAGAGGATGCTGCTGGTAGTTCTTAGCCGCAATCCTGCACGCAGGCGGTGTAAGGGTGATGGTCGCTCGACAAGAAAACGGCTTAGTCGTTCGTATCCTCCTTAGATGACAGAGCAGGCCTTTTTAGGATTAGCGCTGCTCTCCCCAGTCCGGGAAGGGGCGAGAAAAAGGAGCCCTATACATCGCCTGGCCCTACTGGGTAGCCGCACCCAGTTGGTCATCCAATTTTGCGGCAAGAAGAAAACAAAAAAGAACTTAAGAATGAAATTGATAATTGGATCTTTGAACGTTAGAACACTACTGGACAATGAAAACAGAGAAGAACGGAGAACAGCTATCACCGGACGGACCAAATCGATATAGAAGCTTTGAGTGAAACAAAACTGCCTGAAGAATCCAGCCTTGAAGAAGTCGGTGCTGGTTACACATTTTTTTTGGAAAGGTAAACCAGTAGGTGTTCCGCGCACCTCAGGTGTAGGTTTTGCTATCCGAACATCATTAGCATGCAACCTAGAGACCACTCCGACTGGAATTTCTGACAAAATCATGGTTCTACGGCTCAAACTGAGCAGACAGACACACGCTACAATAATTAGCGCATATGCACCCACAATGACTCACACTGATGAATCTAAGGAAAATTTCTACGAGGAACTCGAAAGAATCATTTCCACAACTCCAAAGAAGGACAAGCTCATCCTACTAGGCGACTTTAACGCACGCATCGGAGCAGATCATGTGCTGTGGCCTAACGTAATGGGCATACATGGACTTGGCAAATGCAACTCCAACGGTGAGCTATTACTCTCCAAGTGTGCTTCCCATGAGCTGCTTATCACCAACACTACATTCTAGCAAGACGATAAATATAAAACAACATGGATGCATCCGCGATCGAAGCACTGGCACTTACTTGACTATGTCATAGTTCGCCAACGTGACAGACAAGACGTGAATATTACTCGTGCTGTGAGAGGAAGTGGCAGTCTATCAGATCACTTAAGGCCAACTCAGACAGCGTCGGCCGACGCAGCCCGATCCGATTTATCGTCGGGGACAGTCCTAAGCCGTCGTGAGAAATATTAAACATGTTTAATATTCTACTACGCGACTGCCCCCGACGCACACCATCGCGTCTGCGTTCAACTCACACAGACCCGACGCGACAACAAATCGCGTCGGGCTGCGTCGGCCGACGCTGTCTGAGTTGTTGGCCTTTACTCGTAAGAACCATCATGAAGTTGTAACTGGCGCCACCAAAAATAAGGACCCAAAGCCAACATTGGACCAAGAGGCTTAATGTTGAAGCCTTAAGAAGCCGTGAGAAGGCTAAAGAACTGACTAGTAAGTTTGAATCTGTGTTTACAAACACGAACGATATAACAGAAGATGACAATGAAGACACTGAGAAGATATGGAACGACTTCCGTAATGCTACATACTGTGTTGCTGCCGATGTACTTGGGTTTGTGAAAAGAAAACACCAAGATTGGTTCGATGAGAACGACCAGGAAATACAAGTCATATTAAAAGGAATGCATGAGAAGCACCGTGAATATATTGTAGACAAACAGTCCTGCATCAAACGAAATGCATATCTGGCACAAAAATGGGTGGTCCAGAAGCACCTAAGAGCAATAAAAAACAAGTGGTGGGATAAGAAAGCAGCTGACCTCCAAGAGGCTGCAGATACCAATAACTCCAAAGCTCTCTTCCATGGACTTAAGGCAGTTTATGGCCCTCGTGCCAATGGATCCACCCCAGTAATGGCAGCCGATGGGACACTTATTACCGATAAGGACAAAATACTCGTCAGATGGGCTGAACATTTCAACTCACTGTTAAATATGCATATCTGGCACAAAAATGGGTGGTCCAGAAGCACCTAAGAGCAATAAAAAACAAGTGGTGGGATAAGAAAGCAGCTGACCTCCAAGAGGCTGCAGATACCAATAACTCCAAAGCTCTCTTCCATGGACTTAAGGCAGTTTATGGCCCTCGTGCCAATGGATCCACCCCAGTAATGGTAGCCGATGGGACACTTATTACCGATAAGGACAAAATACTCGTCAGATGGGCTGAACATTTCAACTCACTGTTAAATAAACAGTCAGATATCTCGGATGACGTAATCGAAAACATGCCACAATTATCTAATATGGAACACCTCGACTCTGAACCAAACCAAGCTGAGGTTGTGAATGCAATAAAACAGCTGTCAAACAACAAAGCACCTGGACAAGATGGAATCCCACCGGAGGTATTTGAATGTGGATGTACGTACTTGATTAAAAGACTCACAAAAGTATTTTCTGGAAGAATGGCCAAGTACCACAAGACCTTAAAGATGCAAATATAATACACCTATATAAGTGAAAAGGAAACCGATTACAATTTGACAACCATTGTGGAATATCATTGTTGTCCATAGCAGGAAAGATCTTAGCTAGAGTAATACTTAATCGCTTAACAAGTGCAATTACTGACAATGTGTATCCCGAATTACAATGTGGCTTCCGTAGAGGTCGGGGCACTGCAGATATGATCTTTGCCTATAGACAACTACAGGAAAAATGTAAAGAACAAAATAAACCACTATACACTGTATTTGTAGACCTCACAAAGGCGTTTGATACGGTTAGCAGCAAAGGGCTATGGAAGCTGCTCCTCAAGGTAGGATGCCCAGAAAAACTTATCACCATTATTCGGTCATTCCACGATGGCATGATGGGTCGTGTCTTAGACAATGGCAAGTATTCAAAATCATTTAACATAACAAATGGTGCCAAACAAGGGTGCGTTTTAGCTCCCACCCTGTTTGGTATCGTTTTCGCTCTCATGTTACAGTATGCCTTTCGAGACTTAGAACTCGGTGTGTATCTGCTAGTAAGAACTGATGGAGATGTCTTTAACTTACGACGCTTTTCAGCTCGCACCAAGACAACAGAAACACTAATCAGAGATCTTCTGTTTGCAGATGACTCTGGGCTTTCTGCTCACAGCCTAGATAATATTCAAGAAATTGTTGACAGTTTTGCCGACGCAGCCAAGAAATTTGGACTCACAATAAGTATAAAGAAAACTGAAGTGATGTTTCAGCCTTGCCCTTGCAACTCTCACTCTGACCCTGACGTCACGATAGGTGGTGCAAAATTAACCTCAGTAAAAAGCTTCTGCTATCCTGGAAGTAGTATGTCTTGTGACGGCTCCCTAGACAATGAAATTTTACAGCGCATATCAAAAGCTAGTGTAGCATTCGGTCGTCTGACACATCGTCTCTGGCAGAACCACGACATAAAACTGACAACAAAAATAAATGTATACAGAGCTGCCGTGCTGTCCTCTCTCATGTACGCCAGTGAAACCTGGACACCATACAGAAAGCACGTGCGGCAACTAGAATCGTTTCAAATGCGTTGCCTTCGCAGAATTTGCAACATCCGCTGGCAAGACAGCATACCCAACACTGCAGTCCTTGAGAGGTGTGGCATCTCAAGCATTCAATCACTTCTTGTGAAACTACGATACAAAGACACACTAAAAAGTAATATCAAAGAATGTGGTATGAGTTTGGTTACTTGGGAAGACGATGCAATCAATCGGCGATTGTGGCGTAACCGATGTCTTGCAGCCACCAAACACCAGGAAGAGAAGCGTATCTCTGCCTTAAAGCAGAAGCGAGCAGAGAGAAAATCACGAAACACAGAGACCAGCAGTACAACTTACAGATGTGACGAATGCGGCAAAGAATGTCTGTCACGCATTGGGCTCCTTTCGCACCAGAAGGCACATCGTCGCCGAGATGCTCATTCGTCGTAAACGACGAGAGACGCCATATGAATGCTAAGGCAGGTGAAAATGCAAATGAGTTAATTGCTTTTAAGTAAGTAGTTGTTGTGCCTACATTTAGACAATAGCTCGGCTCTTTTGTTTAGTGTTGACTGTTTGTCTGAATATTTTATGTGAAGTTTTTCGGTTATGAATAGGATTATGTCGACTTGCCAAGAAAATCGATCTCGCCATGACAACATACAACTTTTATTATGTCGACTTGTCAAGATAACCTATCTTGCCATGACAACATACAATTTTTACTATGTCAACATGTCAAGATAATCTATCTCGCCATGACAACATACAACTTTTATTATGTCGACTTGTCAAGATAATCTATCTCGCCATGACAACATAAAATTTTTATTATGTCGACTTGTCAAGATAATTTATCTCACCATGACAACATACAACTTTTATTATGTCGACTTGTCAAGATAACCTATCTCGTCATGGCAACAAAACAGTTTTAGTATGTCGACTTGTCAAGATAATCTATCTCGCCATGTTGACATGATATGTATATTATGTCGAATTGACAACATAATTATCTTGACAAGTCGTCATGTCAAATGGCACTTAGGTGCTTCCGTATTTATTATATCTCTATGAGTAGAATTATCTTCCTCGATTTGCACAAGTAGTGTGCAAAATGGCGGATGTAACACAAACTATGCACAACGAGCATAGGTATTTATTGCAATTTGTTTATTAAGTAATATTATTTCAGATAAAAAAAAAAGAGTTTTATTTGTATGTTTTATTTGCAAGCCAACATATTTATTGAAATTTGTTTAAATAATATTATTTAAGATTTAAAAAAATTTTATGTTTTATTTTCGAACACATTGCAAAAGTGACAGCAGCCATTTAGCGTTCGTCAAATAAATGCACTCTTCTTGTGTACTCGCATGTTACAAGTTGTGAAATCAGCTTTCACAAGTTCTAATGAACGCAGCATTACACGCAGAATACCACTGTATTTTACCAAAGAACTTAAATAGCAGAAGAATGAGCTGTTCGCGTATTTGCATTAAAATCGATGGAACATCCGCCCTCGCGCGAATGGGGTGAAATTTTACTATTTTACTAAGTGGAGAAACTACAGGAAACAAACGAACCAGAGCGGCGCCTTTTTATTGCTATATAGCGCCGTCAGGGTAAACATTGCTCTCCGTGTACCCACAATGCCTTTGGAACGGATGTTCCACTATATTGGAAAGCTGCTCTATCTTCTGCTATTTATTGTCTTTGATTTTACGTAGGCATAATTTTCGTTGATTTCGTCGTTTATTTGTACTTACTCTTTTTCAAGAATATGATTTACACAGGAGGTCTTTCCGGCTCCTTCCTTTCCCAGAAACATGAATCTTGCATTAACTACCGTCATTTCACCATTTTGCATTTCGTATTCGTAGGCTTTCACAGCAGTTTTACCTCTAGCCTCAATTTCAGGCGGTATTGATCGTCCTTGTTACATAAAAATATGAAATATTAGTATAGCATTGTATATTATTGTATTATATTATTAGTCGTCTTGTTTGTTCTTGCATATTTCACTATAGTTAATATACAAATGGTAATAAATAATAAATAAATAACTACCACATGATTAGTGACAAGAAACAAATAACTGTCACATTAAAAAAACCAAAGTAATATGGAGAGAAATATATGAATAATTTGACTTTAAAAAATACATAGTGTATGTTTTATCTAAAACAGGCATAATATATTAATATTGAATATTTAATGAGTCTTTATGCTTACCTATTAATAACTTTTTAAGTGAGTGCTTTTTCTCGGATCTCGTGGAATTTTCGTATTCACGACATTTGTTACAATCATAACAATCAAGAGGAGTCCTTCCATGCTGCAATAACAGACACAAGCACGCGATAAGACGATGTTGGTTGCAAATAAAATTATTAAAATAGTAATGCAGTTTAGTTAAGTTATCATAACAAATATGCTACTATTTGTCAAAATAATATCGGAATAACAAAAATTATCAGGATCGCGATAGGGTTTCAATTGAATGTAATACAGTATTAAAGAAATGGCGCCAAAAAACCAAAAACATGGTTGGAAAATAAATCAAACTTTTAAATAGTGAAATCATTATTTTTTTCATATATGATTTTGATTTCATTAAAATTATTTAATATTTATTATCATGTTGGTTTTGATTATTGTGTTTAGTGGTGTCTTATATAAGTTGTTGTATTAGCAGCGTTGACTGATAGGCTATCTTTTGATGCAGTTCATTTTTTTGTACATTACCATATCTTTTATCGATGCGGAGGCCCCATGAATCAACAGGCACATGACAGTCTCTCGATGTTCATCGTACTTACGCGGAGCAAGTATACACCTATGTAGTGGTGTGCGTCCAAGCTGCAATGGAAATGATAATTAATGTCAAGTTTGCTATACTAGTACAACACAACCATTACGGAAATAATTGAGAATTATCATACTGAACTATCGTTCATTATGATGATAATATGGGTTATAATTCCATCATAATGTTGATGATGATTGGGATACAAATTAATAATGCAAATAAAATATGCCCATAAATATATTACAGTATATTAAAAGAATGGTAATAAAAATCGGTTTTACATTAATAATATTATTCATTATGTCATTGATATAATAATTATAATGATAATGACGATGATGATGATAATATAGGACTAATAATATCAGTTCTAATTAATATATTTTGTCAAGTACATAAACAAGAATATTACTAGATTAGAATTAGAATGTGATGCTTTCAGTGGCGTATCTAGCAGTATTAAA